AAAAAAATCACAAAAATTTATGATTTATTTATGTATTTTAACAGCATTATTGAGATGTAATTAATACACCATATACCCATTTAAAGTGTACAGTGCAATGTTTTTACTATAGTCGTAGGGTTGTGCAACCATCACCACATTTTAATTGTAGAATGTTTTTGTCTCTCCCACCCCTAAAAGAAACCCTGTGCCCTTATCAGTTATTTCCCATTCCTCCTCCCTCTCCAGTCCTAGTCAATTACTAATTTATGTTCTGTCTCCATAGATTTACCTATTCTGGACATTTCATATAGATGGAATCATAACAATATGTGTGGTCTTTTATGACCGGTTTCTTTAACTTAGCATAAAGTTTTCAAAGTCCAACTATGTCATGGTATGTATCAATACTTGATTCCTTTTTATACGGCATTTTATTTATCCATTCACCAGTTTATGGGAGTTTAGGTTGTTTCCAGTTTTTGGCTGCTGTGAACCTTTGTGTACTGGTTTTTGCATGGATATATGTTTTCATTTCTCTTGGGTGTACACCTAGGAGTGGAATTGCAGGGTCATGTGATACCTTTATGTTTAACATTTTGAAGAGCAGTCAAACTGTTTTCCAGAATGAGTGTACCATTTTACATGCCCCTCAGCAGTGTATGAAGGTTCCAGTTTCTCCACATCCTTGACAACGCTTGTTATTATCTGACTCTTTTGATTATAGACATCCTAGTGTATGTGAAGTGGTGTCTCCTTGTGGTTTTGATTTATATATCCCTGATGGCTAATCATGTCAAACATTCTTTCTGTGTGCTAATTGGCCATTTGTACATCTTTTTGGAAGAATGACTATTACAGACCCTTTGCCCATTTTAAATTGGATTATTTGTCCTTTAAATATTGAATTAAGAGTTTATTATATATTCTGGATACTAGTCCCTTATCAAATATGTGATTTGCAAGTATTTTCTCCCATTCCATGAGATGTCTTTTTAGTTTCTTGATAGTGCTCTTTGACATGCAGAANGCTGGGGGTCACTCAGGGGGTTGGGCCGGGCCGGTTTCCTCTCCGCCTCTGCATCGTTGCTGTCCCCGTCCTCGGCCACCGCCGCCTCGGGTTGCTCACTTGTTTCTGCGGCGCGGCTCGGGCACTCCCAGGAATCTTCTTTTATGCCAGCCAGAAACCTCGAATCCTGAATAGGGTAGCTGGCCGCCTTCAGCGCGGCCCTGGCCTCTGGGATCCTGGCAGCATTTACAGCGGCCCCGGCGCCATGTTCCCTGTTTAAAAACTCACTTTTGCAGCTAAGAAACAGTTCTTTTCCTGCTCCACACTTCAAAGCTA